CTCCCCCAGGGCTCATGTTTAAGCCCCCTTCTTTATAATTTTTATGTAAAAGACATTGATGGTTGTCTTGATGAAAATTGCTCGCTAAGGCAGCTTGCAGAAGACGGCGTTGTGTCCATAATAGGACCAAGTGCACCGGACCTGCAAGGACCATTGCAAGATACCTTAGACAATTTGTCTACTTGGGCTATGAAGCTGGGTATCGAATTCTCTCCGGAGAAAACTGAGTTGGTTGTTTTTTCTAGGAAGCATCATCCTGCACAGTTACAGCTTCAACTAAAGGGTAGAACAATCACTCAAAGTATATCTTTCAAGTATTTAGGTGTCTGGTTCGATTCCAAATGCACATGGGGAAAACATATTGCGTATCTAAAACAAAAATGCCAACAAAGAATCAATTTTCTTCGTACAATTACCGGAACTTGGTGGGGAGCACACCCGGAAGATCTTATCAGGTTGTATCGAACAACCATCTTGTCGGTTCTAGAGTACGGTAGCTTCTGCTTTCAATCCGCAGCAAAAACACACATTCTTAAGCTGCAACGGATTCAATACCGTTACCTTTGTATTGCGCTAGGCTGTATGCACTCGACTCATACGATGAGCCTCGAAGTACTCGCGGGTGTTCTCCCACTGACAGATAGTTTCGCGGAATTCTCCTTCCAGTTTCTTATCCGTTGTGAAGTAATGAACCCATTGGTAATAGAACACTTTGAGAAGCTGCTCGACCGAAATCCTCAAACAAGATTCATGAGTTTGTACTATGAGTACATGACGCTGGAGGTTGGTCCTTTTTCATTAATCTCCAATCGTGATTGCTTTCAAGCCTTCTATAGTTCCTCTGTAAATTTTGATCTGACCATGATGCAAGAAATCCATGGAATACCAGATCACCATCGGTCGATGGTTGTTCCCTCAATTTTTGCAATCAAGTACCACCATGTAAGTAACGATAAAAGATTTTTCACAGATGGGTCAACCATAAATGCTTCCACTGGATTTGGTGTATTTAATCAATTTCATAGCGCCTCCTATAAACTGCAGAAACCATGCTCCGTATACGTTGCGGAACTTGCAGCTATATTTTACGCAGTAGAGCGAATTGCCTCACTACCTTCTGACCATTATTTCATTTTTACGGATAGTCTTAGCTCATTGGAGGCTATTCGTTCAATGAGGCCGATGAAGCACTCCTCGTATTTCCTGCCTGAAATACGATCTAAACTGAGTGCTTTATCTAACTGCTCCTATACTATCACCTTAGCTTGGGTCCCATCTCATTGCTCAATTCCGGGTAATGAGAAAGCGGACTCATTGGCTAAGGTGGGCGCTATGGAAGGCGATATTTTTGAGCGACAAATCGCCTTCAACGAATTTTTCTCCATTGCTCGCCAGCAAGTCCTCATCAGTTGGCAACAAAAATGGAATGATGGTGAATTGGGAAGATGGTTACATTCTATTCTCCCACAGGTGTCGAACAAACCATGGTTCAAAGGGTTGGACATGAGCCGCGACTTTATACGCGTTATATCAAGGCTTATGTCCAATCACTGCTCGTTAGACTCGCACTTCTATCGAATTGGGCTCTCAGGCAGTAATTTATGTGCGTGTGGCAGTGGTTATCACGATATCGAGCATGTTGTTTGGTCGTGTACCTTACACCGTGTTGCCAGATCTGAGTTATCCACATCCCTCAAGGCCCGAGGAAAACAACCTGCGATACCCGTTAGAGATGTCTTGGCGAGCCGAGACCTTGACTATTTGAATTTAATTTATGTGTTTTTAAAACGGATAGATTTGAGGATTTAGAAGTTAGTGTCATCTTGTGTTCTCCCAAGTTGTTAGCTACCCATCGGTGTACCCCCATGTTTGTCTTTTTCATCAGAGTGTCGCCTAGTTCGAGATCAAGAGCACGTTGCTCTCCAAACCTTGTGTTCACAATCCCTACCCTGCCATCCATTTGTTACAAATTGTTACCCCTAACCTCGAGATAACCGCGAGTAATCGGCCTCCGCTTTACTAACGTTAGTTTAAAGTAATTCTGTTATCTAAACAATGAATATCGGCTCCGCAAAGCTACAGCAAATGAGCCTGGAAAAATAAACGAATTATTAAAAAAAAAAAAAACATTATATATCATGTAAAGTTCTGACACATTTCATGCAATGTAGCAAATATTGTATACAAAAGCCCATCTTTGTAAACAACATTGTTTACAAGTTGATCGGTTGCGTGAAATTAAATACAAGTTTACGTGAATGAATGTTAACATCACAATTAAAATTCAGAATTTTTATCTGTGTAGGTTTGTTCATAGTACTTGTTCCTTTCCGATATGTTTGTTTGTTTGCTAGCTTCCCCTAATCGTGTGTGCGGTTTTCTGAACTGGTTCTAGCGATTGCTAGCCTATCCTTTTACTTGCTTCGAGCTCATGTGTTTGTGTGTGTAGAGATTTGCATGCATTTCGTTTACTCACAGAGCCATCATTGTCGTCGTTGCTTCATCCGTATCGGCACAGAAGCATCCCTTTGTCAGAGTGAGGTCGGAAAAGTAGCACCCTATTCAACGGTGGTGGTGGTGCCGCGCATTGCACCCCGGACTGGTGGGGTGCAGAAATTCCCAATCGACCTTAGAGTTGGTACTGATACTAGCACCGATTGCCGGTGGCGTAGATGTTGACGAGGGGATCGTCCAATATGTACGAAAGCACGTTAGTTCTCGTGGTGGATGCTGGAGGATTTGGCCAACGCTCTGTCGGAGAATAGGGTAACGGTGTCTTCCTTGAGGATTCTTCCCAAACCGGGAACCTTGACGCTGAAGCGTGGGGTCTAGAGAGCGCGATCTTTTATCAAGGGTGCGGTGTGCCAAGCAAAGCCACGTATCGCTAGAAACAATGCGGTGCAATCTTCGCAAAAACGATCCTGCACAAAAAGTCGTCAAACGGCTGTTCAACACGTTACCATAAAATCTCCACGCAAAAGAAATTATTTCGACAGTGAGCATGCAAAAGGGCGTATACGCGAAGATCGATTCTCTTCATCGATTTTCTCTTTGCATTGCTACAGCTAAACGAAACAATTTTCTAGAATTTGTTCCATGCAGAGTTGTAACAGGTTGTATTGGCTATCAAAAGCAACAGCAAACGCACCGAGAAACGTTAATTCTAGCGAGTTATTAACAAAAGAGAAAATCGACGAAGAGAATCGATCATCGCGTTTACGCCCTTATGCATGCTCACTGTCGATTTACTTTACCTTTCTACACACTTTGCACACACAAAAAGTTGACCGCACGTAACTTTTGACCTAACGTTTGAACTCTACAGGCTAATGGAAAGGACCGAGAGTGTAATGTAGCATTAAATTCAGTCTTTTAGACTTTTTTTAACTTCACATTCCACGAAAAACACGCGTCAACTCTAAGTTCACTAAAATACTAACTACTCACACTCGCGCCTCTTCCACGGTTCAAGTCAAAGTGAACGAGTAGAAGTTCCAGCAAACCTCAGATATGTTTGACTTCGACGGTTACCGTGGCCGGAAGTACGTCAAATTACCCAAGTACTATAATTCAATTATCTTACAAACGACAATTCTCATCATCTTTCTCTGAAAACGTTCAATGCCACATCTCTTTCCTTATCATGCAATTTCAATACATTATCTTGCTCAAATCTCATTTCGGTTACTGTTTTATAAGAGAGAACGGTTCGGATTCGAACCCCGGACTTTAACGAACAGGTAGCGTATTCGGGTCAAATGGAATGAATTGGCTGTACGTTTTTGGAGCTCATTGATTTTTGTATGACAAGTGTAACTCTACATGAGTGGACATTCCTTGGTGGGGAACACATTTATGAATTTAATTGAAAAAACGCAACTTCATGCAGTTTGATTAAATGAGTAATATAATTTATATTCCTATACTATAAATATGGATTATGTTCAGAGAAATCTATTATTAAATAAATTACTTTATAAATGAAGAGCGTTCTTTTCAAGTTTTGAGGTAAATATGGGGAATTCTGAGTATAATTCCAAAACAATTCACAGAATAATGTCACGTGATTTAAATTCTGAGAATAGACTAAAAATTATTATGGTGAGAATCCTCAAATAATCCAATTACAAGGATTGTATATAGAAAGAGGGAAGGATTAGTAGTTTCCATTTAATTCCACTGGAAATCTCTAATCCTTCTCATTCTTTTTATACAGGTATTCCACTAAGACCCTCACATCCATCAGAATACAAGGATTGATTCCTTGATAATCCTAAGAATACCTGGAAACGTGCAACGTAAATCGAAGGAGAGTTCTCATGGAACTTGGAGGAATTCTCTGCAAACATGTAATACAAATTTTAATGGAATTTTCAATTGAACTCTGAGAAGAATCGCAAAATAATTTTGAGCTGAATTTCAAAACGGTTTTGTGGTAAATTTCAAGGAATTCCAATGAAAATTACAAGACTATTCTGGATGATAAACCATGTCAAATATGATAAATAATCAAAGAGATTTATGGAAATAAGCTTCAACGGATTCATACAAGAATTAATAGAGGACTTCGATTTTTTTATAACCAGCGTATCATATGCTGATCTATGTCATTGAACATTGATCAGCATATGATAATAAATCGTCTCCAGACTGACAATACGTCCTCCTGGGAAACCACGCCAATCTGGCGCTCAAAGCAATCAAAACATTACCTTTTAATTAAAACCTTCCCCAACCGACCTCCGCGACCGCCGAGACCGACCCAGGGATCGCAAAATCTTCACTAATTAGCATGTAAATGAAATCCATCCCTTCAGCACCAAGCGAAGCACCGAGCAACATTGTTGACCTGTCTCCGTCCCTACATTGAACTGACGACCGCCAGCAAGCGGTGATGACAGCTTTGTCCCATCATCGTCGACCTCGTAGCTTGTCTTGCGCCCATCCATAATAACATAAATTAACGTTTTCCCTCCTTGTCCATTTTCTCTGCTTCACAGGTGACGTCCTGTCCGGGGTGTGCTTCGTCGGCCAGCTGGACACTCACTCGTTGGCCATGTTCCTGCTGATTCCGCTGTGTGTGTACCTTTCGCTGGGAGCGATATTCCTGCTGGCCGGGTTCGTGTCGCTGTTTCGCATTCGGACCGTGATGAAGCACGACGGAACTCGAACGGATAAGCTGGAACGATTGATGCTGCGAATTGGGTTCTTCAGTGGGCTGTTTATACTGCCGGCGTTGGGCTTTTTGGGCTGCTTGTTCTACGAGTACTACAACTTTGACGATTGGATGATCCAGTGGAACCGGCAGATGTGCAAGATCTTCTCGATTCCTTGTCCGGCGACCAAGTACAACAGCGATATGGTTCCGGAAGAGGAGAAGCCAATCTTCCACATCTTCATGGCAAAGTACGTGTGCTCGATGCTGGTCGGGGTGACTTCGAGCGTGTGGCTTTGGTCCGGTAAGACCGTGGTCAGTTGGAGACAGTTTGCCGAGCGATTGCAAGGCAAGGACGCTCGAAGCCGGGGAGCTTATGTTTAGTAGAGAACGGAACGAGCGAAAGGTCATCCATGAAGAAAAACGCTTCTACCGAGTCCCTCCACTGAACCAGAACAAGATTTCTACTAGTATACCACAACCACACCTGTTTTTCGCGAACTGTTTTAGAGTTTATGCTTGCTTCATGGATGACCACCGAAACCAAATAGAGGAAAATTATCAATTTACGCACGTAGCATGAACCCAGGCTTTAAGCATCACGTGTAGGAAAAAAAAGCGTATAATCAAAACAAAAACAAAAATGGTAGTCACGTACCCATCATCGGGAATCTCAATCTGTTGAAAAAGTGAAGAACAATTTCATAGTTTTGTTCAAATTTCCACATTTGAATGAACGTTGCCAAATATGTAGAGAATTCAACAATTTTCTGTTGAACCCATATTTTCTAGTTTACAAATGTAACCACTTAGTTCGATAAGTTCAAGTCCTTAGTCAGCAAGCTACTTAAGTGATTAACTATTGTTGTTTCAACTTGTAAAATTCAGTTTAACATTAACTTTAGATATTAGGATCATTTCGTTTAGTAGATAAGATGATCGATCTGTGTCATATAAATAGACTGTGCGAATCAAAAAGAATAAGAACCGTCATCATTTCCATGTTGATACTGATTGTAGAAAAGAAGAAAAAGCAAACCATGTCTGTAATTATATAACTATCGTAGGCTACTTCGTACAATAGTAGTTGGTTAGAATTCGATTTTAGATTGGACGGATTATAAAATTGCGAAATTATACATCGTTGGTATTAGCCGTGAAGGAATTATCCACTGGAGAAAAGCTCCAAGACTTTAATAAAGAATGCTGAATAAATCATAAACAAATGGCTCTTCTAATTGTCGTTCACATTCTCCCTCAATGATAATCGAGAAAACAACTGGTGAGTGCTCGGCGCACACTGACTGTTAAAGAGTCCCGTAACCGATCGAGGCCATTAAGCCGGCGACCGAGGCTATTGTTTTCAAATCTTCGTCATCCAACTGTACATGTAGGTAACATCAGAATGCAGAAGAAGACAAACAAAAAAACTCGGCAAAAGAACGAACCAACACACGATATCGATAACGCGTTGTTTACCTCATCTCTCGCATCATAATCACGATGATGGGGAGCTTCAAGCTGCCTGTTTTTTTTGCTCTGCCATTTTTCTTCGCACACTCCCGTGCTCTGTTCTGGTCGTTTGTGTTTTGGTTCGATGCCAAGAGGCGAACATTGGCGAACGGGTGGCAGAGAGCAGGAAAAACTAGTTTGCAATGTTTCAGCGATTGCCGTGAATGGAGGGCTGAATGGAGCAGAATGGGGCACGAGTGAAGCTGTCGATAGTCGTCGTCCTAGGGATGTTCGCTTCACGAACGATTGTGAGGGAGATTTCAGGTGAAATTCACATTAAATCTGATGAAAAATCATGAAATTTTCTGGGGATTATAACAAATGAGTTCTGAGGAGAATTTTAAGAGAGCGGTGCCGGTGGCGTAGTGGTAAGCGTGATTGCCTCTCACCCCAGCAGACCTGGGTTCAATCCCAGTCAGCGCCGCCGGGATGTTATGAGGCACAACATCTCTGATCACGTTTGTAGTAAAACCGTTGGTCCCCGGTTCATGAGTTGATGTGATGGGTCGATAGGTAGGGTCCAGGTGTGGGAGCTGCTTCCCTGGCGTCGGTGGCATTGGTGCTCAGCACGGAAAACATGAAAAATCAAGGAACAAAAAGAGAATTCCAAGCTTTTTAGTTTTTGAGGATAGCTCGAATCTGAGGGATTATCCCAAACAAAAATTGGAAGTGAATTAAACGTGAATTCTGAATAAATTTCTAGGAAATTTCAAGAAGATTACCAAGGACAAATTATATTGAGGGTAATTCTGAAGAGAATTCCAAACACACACAGGGGGAAGGGGAATTTGGTAAAGAAAGGTGATAAAATCGATTTGTACCTTCCTAAAGTTGTCCTAGCTCACTTTCTACTCTCTATATGCAATTTTCACACTGCCGTACTATAAACGGAACTTTCAATTCTATTCTTTCATCTCCTCATCGTATAAAAATTACCTCTTGTGTCTGTTATTTGAAATTAGCATCTTCAACTATGTAAATCGTTGACTTCACGCAGAAGTAATACTAAACATTTAGTCAAAGTTGTTACCGTTTGGTAACATTTAATTCATTTTTTGTATGCGTATAGGGCCCTTCATGTAGATATAGCTAAATCTTCTTCTTCTATATATATATAAAAATGAATTTCTGTCTGTCTGTCTGTCTGTCTGACCCTTATAGACTCGGAAACTACTGAACCGATTGGCGTGAAAATTTGTATACAGGGTTTTTTGGGGCCGTGGAAGGTTCTTATGATGGTTCGAGACCCCTCCCCCTTCTGTAAAGGGGGGCTCCCATACAAATGAAACAGAAATTTCTGCATAACTCGAGAACTAATCAACCAAATGGAACCAAATTAGGCATGTGGGGGGCGAGGAGATAATCATAGGGGTTAGCCCCTTAGATAATAGGGGGGGGGGGCTCCGTACAATATAGCATGCTTTTTTTTTTAATCGGCGCATAAACTCAAGCTAATATTGAATCCCGAGCAAGACCGGGCACACTCAGCTAGTAGAATATAAAGTTTAAACGACAAATGAGGAATGTTGGTAGGTTAGTAACGGAGAGGATTTGCTTGGGTTAGAAGGGGTGATAAACCACAACGCACTGAACTCAAAATTTATGAGCGGCGTAAAGAGAGATCTGAAAAAAACGAAGAGCGAGGGAGTACGAACACGGTCCGAACAGTGATGCCACATATACAGATTTATCTGTAATCATACAGATTTTTTTTCAATATTTTGATACAGATATCTGTATATACAGATTACAGATTTTTGAAAAATATACAGATTTTTCAGATTTTTTTCAAATAAAGGGAATGTATTTTGCGTTATTTTTTTTATATTTATTAATTTCGTTATAATCGTTTTTTCCTTTTGAGCGGCTTGAATTCAATCTGAGCATCAAACTCAAATCGTATTTTTCACTAAGTTAATTATTATTGTTTTAGCTTCAGATGGACTTGGAATCTTTCGAATGGACTTCTGCTGTTCAGATGTTCTGATTTCTAGTTGGAAGGAATATTAGTTTCCCTTTCTATTCCCCCTTCAGATACGAAGTCAATTAAATATATTTTGTCCACTCGGTAAACAAGCCATTTTAGAAAACTCCCAAAGTGGTTGATTAGAGTTTGTTAGTCGAAGAAGCAACTGGATATTTGTATATTTCAAAACGTAAATATAGAAATAAAGAATATTGCATACAATTCGACTAAACTTTCTGTAAAAGTTCTGTGTTATGTCCAATGTCCAGATAAAGGTTTGCGCAATCTGAGACATAAATAAATCAAATTCTAGGGAATTGTGATAGTTACTTCATTAAGGAAATCTTCAGTCGGAAAAAAGATTTGTCTATTACAACTGGTACTTAATGTTTTGTATTTTCAGACAGTAGAAGAGATACAAAACACTACAAAAAATCAAGATAGTAGGATTTCAAGTTTTTTAAAATAGACAGCAAACCTTAGTAATTATTCATGATTCTAAACATTGAGCAAACTCCTTCTGAACTATGAATTTGCTCAATGGAGATTTACGTAAATTCGCACTGAGACCATAATATAGAAATTATACAGATTTTTTCACAGATTTCTGTCAGCCAGATACAGATAAAAAAGATTTTTTGTGATGAAAATACAGATTGTCCTTGGAAAAAATGTGGCATCACTGGGTCCGAATGTGAAGTGATCGAGAAGACGAGTGTGAGGAGAGCACGCCAGTGAGTAGAGGACTGTTGAGTGGTGCGATTCGGGCGGTGTGTCGTCGCCTGGCTGCGAATTTCTAACGTGGACCTCGTGGTGTGGAATCGCTTTATCGGTATCATGCCGTCCATCTCCTCGGCCTGAGCACCCGATCTGGCAGACAGGACCTTCCAGATGTCGCCATCCGGCCGACGCTATACGGCCGACGCTATCCGGCCGACGCTATCCGGCCGACGCTATCCGGCCGACGCTATCCGGCCGACGCTATCCGGCCGACGCTATCCGGCCGACGCTATCCGGCCGACGCTATCCGGCCGACGCTATCCGGCCGACGCTATCCCGCCGATGCTATCCGGCCGACGCTATCCGGTCAACTCTATCCGGCCAACGCTATCCAGCCGACGCTATCTGGCCAATGGTATCCGGAGGTTGCCATCCGTTCCACGCCATCCAGTCATCGCCACTCGCAGACTCTATCCAACCGACACTATCCAGCCGACCCTATCCAGCCGACACTATCCGGCCATTGCTATGCGGCCATCACCCTCCGGGCATAGTCATCCGACCGCCGCCATCTGGACATAGTCATCCGGCCGCCGCCATCCGGTCACTGCCTTCCGGTCGCTACCATTTAGTTGTTGCATTTCGCCGTCGTGACTGCCACAGTCACCCAGCACCCCAGATCAGGTCGGTTCGTCCAATAAATTAAATCAAGGTAAATCTTTAGTTTAGGACACCTACATCCGAAAACCTCCCCAACGCCTGAACATAAAACCCTGGACCCGGGAATAAAAGAGGCCTTTGGAGCCCACCCCAGTGGCTGCCGACAGGCTTAGACCAGCAGCTAGGGGCTTAGGTACGCCCTCTTCTGGGACGGCGGAGAATTTCCCGGGATTAAACGGTTATGAGTTTCAAAGTAAAACTTAGTCACTAAAGTCACTTTTTTACAAACGACGGTGAGAATAAAGAATTTGTCTTTAAAAAATCCTACCCTGCGGTTTCGATAAAAAATCTAAACTCAATTTGTAGGCTTTTATACTTTGTTCGAATGTTTTCAAGCCTAATATGTCGAAAAATGGTATAGGAAAATTTTCAAGCTCTCGACCTTTTGTTCAAACATCGAGAAAAAATTCATATCTCCGAATCTTGAGTTCTTTTTTAAAACCATTAAAATAATTGTATTGTATTTATTTCCAGAATCCACAAATTTCCAAGTCCATGTTTAAGAATAGAAAATTCTATGTCTAAGGTCATGAAATGTTTTCCATGTTTCAGAAGCCTTCTTAAAGTACTGTTAATATTCCATGTGTTCAAAATATCGACAATTTTTCTAGGATGCACAATTTTCTTAATTTATTTGTCTTTGTTCTCAAACTGAATATTTAAATACCAGTATTAATCAAAATGGTATAAAATCTCTTAAATTTATCCCTGAATCTTATAAAAAAAAGTTCAAAATTGAGATTTTAAATCCTAGGCTTTTGCAAAATGTCCGTAATCTTTCCATCAAATCGCAAATCAAACAATGAGAGTTTTCTTTGATTTGTGATTTAGAATAGTTTTCTACGTCCCAGAGTTATAAATTTGTTCTATCTTTTAGGTATTACAGAAGTTTCTAATCTTTAAAATTGACAGTCATAAATTTGTCGAAATTAGTCTAAGTCTGAGACTTTAAACAATTTTCTCTGTGCTTCAATTCTTCGATCTACAGTACACGTTCAATTTTGGCAACAAAACTGTTGGGTAATTCGTATAGGGCCTAGCTTTGGTTTGAAATGTTTCAATCGTCGCCCTTCTACGTCACTAGGCTATCAATGAAATGAAATAAATGAATGGATGGGCGTTTTAGCGTGCGGGCTTATTTGAATCGAAAAAATTCGTTGATCGGCCGTCTCGAAAATCGAGTTATTTTTAATGATTTTTCTCGATTATGCGGAACTTTCCTACACGATTAGTAGCTATCAAGCGGTGCTGAAGAATGGTATCAAAACCCGATTTGTTTACGTTTTGGACATAGACCCATTTTAAATG